TGAGCCTTTGAAGCAGAAGTTTCTTTTCTATACGAAAAAACCTTGAATTTTAACCTGGGGCAGGGTAGTTTTTAGTTAATCTGACTGAGTGTTCAAAATTCATAAGGAAGATGTTTTTTGAAGAGAAACTACGAGGTCTATCCTTCATGTATAATGAATCTAGAGGATGTGGAACCACAATGTTATCCCTCATTCATCAAGAAACGAGGCAATCACAATCCTCTCAACAAGCAAAGACAAGCTAATGTCACACATTTTGTTCAAAAAGTCAAAAATCAAGAAAAAGAAAAAGCCTGCTAAGTCAAAAACATGAAAACTTACGACTTAGGCAAAAACTAAGGCATCCCGCTGGACTATCAATTCAAAAAAAATTATTTCAGGCAAAAATTAGGGAAAATAAAAATTGCAAAGAAAGGACTACAAAGAAAAGTCCTCAGCAAAGAACAAATTGGTGACTACAAACACGAAGACATGAGGGTGGTTTCTACTCCGAAAACCTCGTCGTTTCCTTAACCGTCACAAAATCCTTTTGAGAGATGAACGCTCATGTTGAATTAACTGAACATAGGATTGGAGAACACCATGAAGGGGGTGGGCACCAAATATTTTGAGCCTTAAATCCTTTTTTCTAAAACCATGAACCAGACCACATTACAACCTTCAAAAGTCCTAATTGAAGCAAGGTTATTTTGAAAGCATACTTCAATGAGATAATGTTCCTGACTCCCATGAATGTTCTAAATAGTTATGTTGGTAACATATGTTTTTCCTATACAAAAATAAATGGTGCTTTAACTCGCAAAATTTGTGCGATATCTTTCAAAATCTTCAAGACTTACATAACTGTTGCATTAGAATTTTCATTCTCATAATAAAATTTTCTAACTGCAAAACATTTGTTTGATATCAAGGAAACTCACACATAAGCACCAATGATGAGTCAATTCTTAAGGCCTGAAACTCTGTTGAGTAATTGGCGAATTATTTCAAGAACAAAATCATATCCATGGGCATGTCACATGAAAACCTTAAGCATAGACATGTTGCTTCTCCCAGTTAATGCTTTTCCCAACTTGTTTACTCTTTTGGGGCAAAATTTTAAGACTTTGTTGTGCCAACTACAGTCAATTCGGGGCAATCACATCGAGATTTATTGAATATCTCTAAGAGTTTGAAGACACCAGAGCATGGTGAATGCCAGGTCTTTTGTAAAATCCTCTTGAGATTATATAGCTTGGGGCATTTTAGAAGTGAATTTATTCGCAAGAATTGTCGTGCAACGTGCAGCTTATCAGCAGTAAACTTGGGGCATCCAAAATTAATCCCAGGGGCAATCCAGATTTGTCAAGATATGTTTTTTCATACATTATCAGAGGGTGGTGTTCCCAGTATCTCCAGCTAAGCAAGTCTTCTTTCCAGCTGAAACTTTGTTTGTGTTGTTATCCTTTCAATGGATTGTTTGCAATAGAAGACTAGACTTTGGGTTTTCTACCTGAAAATATCTTCCTCTCCAGAGATATTTAAGCCTTGTAAAAGGACCTTGCTCCAATGATGGCCTGTGTTTTATCTCCAGTAATGTTCCCATCCTGTTGAGATTAGCCGAGTGTTGGGTTGTGCTATGATGCCTTATCATCTCCAGTTTATCTTGTCTATTTGTTTTGTCAGAACATACATGGCATTCATTTATTCATTCACACTTGCATCATGCACGCACAGTTGTATTTGTTGATGTCATTGAGTTCGTATACCTTGGTTGTGTCTATTCAAATAATGTATTTGATCTTTCCAAGTAGAGTACCAACTTAAGCAGAAAGTGCGCCTTCTTTCTAATTCCCCACTGAGTTAACTCTCGTGGAAGAATCTTGCTTTAGCTTTCCTTTTCCATCTTTGGATAGGATAAATCCCCATTTGAGTTGTTTCCTCATTGGGTGGAGTCTTGTTTGACTATTTTCTCTCTAGTTTATTCCTGGATTGAGCTTTGTCTCTTGTGAACGATACCCTGTGGATCTCTCTAGGCTGTGAAATCTAGATGGAGAGTGCATTTATTTTGCAACGTAAATACTTGGTCTCCTCAAGAAGGATTTATTCATGGTTCCCCATTGAAGATGAACTTTATTCCCCAGCAGTGTTATCACAACCTTCTTCTGGAATATCGACATGACAATAAGCGACTGACTCTTTATTTGAGCAGTTTGATTATTTCTGATTTCTCTACGACAAATGGCGGTCTCTTCATGAGCAGTTTGTCCATCCTCGATGAAATTATTGATTCTCACCTCCAGCAATATCTTCATGATATTTTATGGGTATCTTTGAGAAAACAGCAAGCGGCAGTCTCTTCATGGACAACTTGTATGTTATCAACACTTTTTAAAAAAACAGCAAGCGGCAGTCTCTTCATGGACAACTTGTACGTTATCAACACTTTTTGAAAACGGCAAGTGGCAGTCTCTTCATGAGCAGCTTGTACGGAAAACGGCAAGTGGCAGCTTCTTCATGAGCAGCTTGTACGTTAGTATTTTTGGAAGACAGCAAGTGGCAACTTATCTATTTGAGCAACTTGTGTGTTATTGTTCCCTTGAAAACGGCAAGTGGCAGCTTCTTTATGAGAAGCTTGTGGGTTATTGGCAACAAGTGGCAGACTCTTCATGAGCAGCTTGTGTGCTTTGATGTTCTTTGAAGACAGCAAGTGGCAGACTCTTCATGAGCAGCTTGTGTGCTTTGATATTCTTTGAAGATAGCAAGTGGCAGCTTCTTTATGAGCAGCTTGTGGGTTTTTGGCAACAAGTGGCGGACTCCTCATGAGCAGCTTGTGTGCTTTAATATTCTTTGAAGACAACAAGTGGCGGTCTCTTCATGAGCAGCTTGTATGTTATTGACACCTTTGAAAGGAAGCAAGTGGCGGCCTCTTTATTTGAGCAGCTTGTGTATCCCCAACAATAATGTCTACTCAGCAAATGGCATCCCTTTCGGAAAAGTCCCGTGGGGAAGTTTGTTATTTTATCCTTTTCAAGCGATATCTTGGTTAGAGAAGAAATGTGTTACCGTTCTTGGTAAAATTTAGAAATCAGAGATGTTTATCTCCAGCCACAGTGCTGATGTCAATCATTTTATTTTCCAGCCACAATACTGATGTCAATCATATGCTTTTCTAGTCACAGTGCTGATGTCAATCATTTTGTTTTCCAGCCACAGTGTTGATGTCAATCATTTTGTTTTCCAGCCACAGTGCTGATGTCAATCATTTTCCAGTCTCAGTACTGATGTCAATCATTTCCTTTTCCATTCACAATGTTAATGTCAATCATTTCCCTTCTCCAGTCTCCTTACTGATGTAAATCATTTATTTTCCAGTCTCAATACTGATGTAAATCATTCAAGAGTCTCTCATTTGAAGCCTATGACTCTTTTTCCCCAATTAAGTTATAATCTCCTCCCCTGTGTGATTACTGTATAATGTGCTTGGTTTCTCCAGCATAGTCTGTCTCATATGGCGTCATTCCCCATAAAATTCAGAGCATTACATTCATATCATATCATGAACATAATCGCGGTATCTTAAGGCCAAAAATTGTGTATTCTATATTTAAGTCCTTTCAATCTCGTCGAAATGAAGATCCCAATCTTCATATCTCGTCAGATAGAAGAAACTTAAATAGGGGCAGCTGTCATACCCCAATTTTTGACCTAAGATCCCACTTGCATTTTTGCATTTTTTATACAAAAGTCAAGGTCACTAAATACGGTCGGTTTTAACCTCTCACCTTCGAGCTTTGACTATGTGAAGATTGTCAAGTGTTTTGAACATTTTTAGCCCATGTATCACTAATTTCTAATCGCATACAAAGGTGTATGTTCATGTATTCTTTTGTTTCATGTGCAGAGACAGGTCTGAATCAAGAGCATCAGGTGTCGCGCCTCAATTAAGGTTTTGAGTCTCCCAAGCCAGAAGTACGGTTGATTGTGGATTCTCGAAGACTGATTCATCAAGGCACACCGTTGCACCCTTAATTTCGCCCCTAATTTTTTCAGTCGCACATTCATACCATATTTTGTCATTTGGTCACAATCATTAGTAAATATCTTCATTCATCATATTTTGCATCATTAGTCGTATTTAAGTTGACCAGAAAAGTCATTTTAAATCAAAGTTTGCATCGTCTTTTAGTTAAAAAATACCTGACATTTCACTTCATGCATTTTTATCTCTTTACTCGTTTCTTGCATTGCTCCAAGTTGTTTATATGTCGATAATAAAAATATTTTGGTTTTATAGACAAACTGTTAAAAGCGATTCAACAATGTGCGAAAAATTAGCGAGAAAAATATTTCAAGTTTTCACCTTTTACCGATAATTTTATGAATCTGCATCTCGCATAGATTATGACGGTATGCTCGCTTTATTTTTTCGATACAGTTCGAAGTCTCGTTTTTAACCGTAAAACGTCTATTTAGCCTGGTATTTTCATTATCATTTTATTCCTATTTTTATTTTTTTGAATATTTTTTCTTTAATCTTTGTGACATGTAGTTTATTTTAATGTGTTCATTTTATTTTTTCGGATAAATTTTCGTCCGTTCTTTTTATCGTTTTCGATCATTTTGGGTCTTTATTTTTTATTTAAAAAAAATTCAAAAAAATTATTTTAAATTGATTTATTTTTTATAGTTTCAGGTTTTATTTTATTTTGGTCATTCAGGGACTTTTTAGTCACAAAAAATATTAATTAGGCTTTGCTTAATTCTCATTGGTTGATAGCATGATTTGCGGATTGATAGAGATTGAATTTATATTGAACGGCTTGGATTTATTTTGAAATCATAATATTCCTTTTCATTTTTTCTATTTTTAGCTTCTTTATCTCTTTGTAAGGGGGGGACACGGACAACAAACAAAAAAAATCAACACAGTAACTCTTTATCCTTTCTTCTCTTCCCAATACAATAATCTCGCTTCTTTCATCTACTACCCCTGTCTCCATATCTCTTCCTCTCATCCCATGCTTATCTCAGCTGGAGATGACACAAAACTCTATGCATATGCTGTTAAAGAATTCACCGGGTTTAAACCTCATTGTATCTGTCCTTGGCCTCAGAGAACACCCATTCAAGTAGCACTTAATACTTCCTTCAATCAATCACCAATGCTTTTACTACAATCTTCACATTGGTTAGAAGTCCGTTTGCTACATCTCAAAAATGTTCGCAGAACTGGAGACTATGCAAAGGCTGAAAGTGTTGGGCGATTCAAGATTAAAGCATCTCATAAGATAATTTGCAGCGCCCTTGCTAATTCAGGGATGTTTTTTTTGCGTATTCGGATAATGAAAAGCCTATTCTTTATAAAGTGGAGAGATCTGAAGCAGGAAAAATTACATGGAGTTTTGGTAAAAGGAAGCTTCCCGAGAGATTACCTACTGCCCATTCAATGATTTTTTTTCTCATGACTCTTCTTGGTTGATAGTCGCTGGCCTTGATAGAAGGATATATGTTGTGGATGCCAATAGCTCGGAACTGATACATACTTTTACACCATTTCGTGAATCACAAGATAATGGATTATCACCAGCCGAACCACCCATCACAAAATTGTGTACTAGTTCTGATAGACAGTGGTTGGCCGCCGTGAATTGCTTTGGGGATATATATGTATTTAACTTGGAGACACTAAGGCAACACTGGTTCATTTCGAGATTGGGTGGTGCCTCTGTTATAGCGGCTGGATTTCCACCTCAGAACAACAATGTACTGATAGTTACAACTTCTTCAAATCAAGTGTATGCATTTGATGTAGAGGCCAGACAATTGGGGGAATGGTCAGTGCGGAATACATTTGTTCTTCCCAAGAGATTTCACGAGTTTCCGGGTGAAGTCATTGGACTTTCATTCCCTCCCTCTGCTCGCGTCGAATCTCAGCGTTCATGTTTCGTGCAAACAACAACAACTCCATCTCCAATTCCATTTTGGTGAATTGGTAAGATTCAATTTCCCTATTACCTTTGCATTTAATTTCTTCCATTTGTGTTAAACTGAATATTGAAGATGTTAATTTGAAGTCATCTGTGCTATTTTTTTAACGATGGAGTTATGCTTGCATTGTTGCGATTGGTGTTAAAATTGAATGGAAATATTGATATCAATTTGGTGTTATGATAAGGTGTGTGTTGAATTGGATTTTGTGGTTGTTGTCTAAGTATTTGTTCAAAATTATTGATGTCAATTTTGGTTGTTGAATCTAGGATGACATTGTCTTCTAATTTAAGTTGATTCAAGTATTGAAAATGATATTGAAATTGGATTAAATTGTTGAAGTTGAATTTGAGACTTTTCTTTGATTTTGGAGCACCGACATATTGTCGAGTTGCTGCCCGGATTTATCCTTGTTGAAACTTGCACTCCAAACTTATTTTCATCACTTTTGGACTTAATGTAATTTTGGCATGAGTTGATTAATTTGGAATTGTCGGTGTTGATGTTGTTTTGTTGTTTAAGTTATTTTAAAATTTGTTTTGATGATGTTTCAAATTGAATTCAATTCACAAAGTTTGTTGGTTTAATATTAGTGTTTGTACATAAGTTTTGAATCACTTGAAGATTGATTTTCATGAGCTTTTTGTGCATAATTTGTTGTTGTCCAACTTTTGATAAGGCTGATTTTTTGTGTTTACATTGAACAATGTCATGAATCCTTGATTTTCATTTGTGTAAATATTCATTTATTCATATGCATTATACAATTTCATTTTTTATTTTATACTTACTGACACATGTTTTGATCATTGCAATTTCGTTTCATTTTAATTTTTATACTGCTTATGTTACTAACGTGTTTGTTACTGTGAAGGTTTCCGAGAATTCATTTCAAGTATTCGTACTCGCATAGCGCATTTTCACTTTTTCTTTCTCCCTTTACCTCTTTATTGTATTTCATTATTTTTATTTTATTTGGTACTGTAAATATATACCTGTACATAATATTTTGACTGTATATTTTATTCACTTCACTTATAAATAAATTCAGGTTTTGAAAATATTATTTTTCACCACATTGTGATTTTATTTTTAATTCCAACTAACTTCTGAAAATTGTGCGGGCGCACATAAGTTTCCCTGTGCTGTTAGATTTGTCGATATATATCTTGTGATGCAGGGATTCTTATCTGATACCGTGAGCTTTATCCACCCCCTTTGCGCTTTATCTGATGCTTGGAGTATTATCTTACATCAGGTTTTTTGATGCTGTCGGCTTGTGATTTATTTTCACCCGAGGTTTGATATACTCTTAGCTTATTTATCTGTCTGTGGTTTTAAATCCAAGGGAAAGAATTAATTTGTTGACTTCATGTCATCGAGTATCTAATACGATTATGTGAAATCCCTTCATACCTTTTTTTTAGTTTTATTAATCTTAAGACGAATTTCCTACAAATCAATTTTTAAACTCACACCCCCTTTTAAGTCAAAACTTCAACACTAGGTCATCGTATCTTCAAAATCTCATCCATATCCATTTAACTAAACAAACAATTTTAACCAAAAAACAGATATTTCAAAAGGTTCCTGCGGAGTACCGTAAATGCATTGGGTGCTAATACCTTCCCATTGTATAACCAACCCCCGAACTCTCGATCTCTTTTAAAACCGCATTGTATTTTCATTACTTTTAAATATTACTTTACATTGCATACTTTAGGGTTTTATTTCGCTCTTTTCCCTTTTCCCTTGGAAATAATAAAGCGCGGTGGCGACTCTTGCTTTTTGTGAGTCAAGTTAATTAATAGCTTGATCTCCGATTTTCACCGCTACAGTTAGCAGCGCCTAAGCTGGATTTGTCAGCCAAAAATAAAGAAAAGCAAAAGCAACACATAGGCCTAGTACCCTTTTGCATAAAAGTTTACTTTCCCAAGACAGTAGAGGTACACGTGGGGAAAATCCTTTGGATAAAGACTCAAAAGTGGTTGTGAGCATTAAATGAGCATTAAATGATGATGAGACTTATCAAATCAGAAATCCTTCCATGTGAAACTCTGCATCATTGCTTAATTCTGGATTGGAAGTTTAGCTTCAGCGTAACATCCAACCTCTGATCTTTGTATCTCCTTGCTCCAGCATGTTCTAAAGGAGATCTCAGACTTTCTAGGAAGCTTGCAACACGCTTCTTAACCTCTTTGAATTACCCTGGCAAACTCTGAATGGACCTTTATGAAAACTTGCCCAGAAGTTCTGACCAAACTCTGTCTTGAAAGTGTCCAGAATTTGCTGAGTGTTTCAGTTTCAAGGACGTGTCTTTGAGAAGTTATAACTTGAAATCCCAGCATTTCTAGGAGAAGTTCTGTTCTGCAATGTTTTAGATCTCGTTGAAATCTATAACTATTGAATCAGAAGTTCTTCCAGAATCAGCTTGCATCATGGTGAACATCTGGCCATAAGTTCTGAGCTTGTCATATCTTCTTAAACACTTGGAAAAAATTCTAAGTATTTAGAATTTTGACTTCTCCAAAGTAGTTTTGACTTTTGAATTTCTTGATGAAACAAACTTCATATTTTAACATGTCTTGATGAAATATGGTTCTTGAAATTTGATTTTGATCCAAAAGTCAAAGTTTGACTTTTCAGTATGCAAATGACCATTTTACCCTTGTGAGTGATTTTCTTGGAAAATTTGTAGTTCAAGGCCTGGAATTGGATGGAAGTAAACTTGAGGATCCAAGGTGATTCTTTGAGAAATGAGAGGGAAAATTTTGGGGTACAACAACTGCCCCTGTTCAATCTTCTTAAACCTGAAGAGTTAGATTGGTGAGTCCACCATTCGTGACTTGAAGGTGAAAGATGATTGAACGCTAGAGTGCCTAGAAAATTTGCACTCGAAGATGTGTTAGTTGATTGTGTAGGGAATGGGGTTAAAGATGCCATTTGGAGAGATGATGGATAGTTAATGGAGATGGGCTTGTAGATGCCATCCAGAGGTGATTGTTGAACTGTATTTGAGAGGGAATCTGAATGAGTATCAGAATGGCATCCGTGTTTGGAGCGTATCTGAACTACATCTCAAAGCTGTTTTTGAACGAGTATCAGGATGGCATTCGTATCTGATGCATATCTGAACTGTATCAGGTTGCTTTATGATGAGTCCATGTAAAACTTCGTCTGGAATTTCCTGAGAAGGAAACTGGGTAGGGTTGCTTCAATGATGAGTCTGTGTAAAACTTCATCTTGGAAAGAGAAGGAACCTGTGTAGGGTTGCTTCATGATGAGTTCGTGTAAAACTGCATCTTGAATTTCCTGAGAAGGATCCTGGGTAGGGTTACTACATAAAGAGTCCATGTAAAACTGCATCTTGGAAATAGGAGGAACCTGTGTAATGTTTCTTCATGATGAGTTAGTGTAAAACATCATCTTGGAAATAGAAGGAACCCGTGTAGGGTTGCTTCATGATGAGTCAGTGTAAAACTTCATCTTAGAAAGAGAAGGAACCTGTGTAGGGTTGCTTCATGATGAGTCCGTGTAAAACTGCATCTTGAATTTCCTGAGAAGAAACCTGGGTAGGGTTACTTCATGATGAGTCCATGTAAATCTGCATCTTGGAAATAGGAGGAACCTGTGTAGGGTTGCTTCATGATGAGTATGTGTAAAACTTCATCTTAGAAATAGAAGGAACCTGTGTAGGGTTACTTCATGATGAGTCTGTGTAAAACTTCATCTTGGAAAGAGAAGGAACCTGTGTAGGGTTGCTTCATGATGAGTCCATGTAAAACTGCATCTTAGAAATAGGAGGAACCTGTGTAGGGTTGCTTCATTATGAGTCAGTGTAAAACTTCATCTTGGAAATAGAAGGAACCTGTGTAGGGTTGCTTCATGATGAGTCAGTGTAAAATTTCATCTTGGAAAGAGAAGGAACCTGTGTAGGGTTGCTTTATGATGAGTCTATGAAAAACTTCATCTTGGAAATAGAAGGAACCTGTGTAGGGTTGCTTCATGATGAGTCAGTGTAAAACTTCATCTTGGAAAGAGAAGGAACCTGTGTAGGGTTTCTTCATGATGAGTCCGTGTAAAACTTCATCTTGGAAAGAGAAGGAACCTGTGTAGGGTTGATTCAACTGGTCGTGTAGATAATTTCCCTGACTTGTTACAGGTATTAATCTCTGACCCGAGAAAGAAAGATAGTTTTCCTGGTTTGTTACAAGTGTTAATATTCAATCTCTTCATGTAGATAGTTTTCCTGGCTTGTTACAAGTATTAATCTATAATCAGTTATCCACAGATAGTTTTCCTAGCTTGTTATAGGTATTAATATGGAACTTGAAAAGGTTGGTCGATGAGATAGTTATCCTGTCTGGTTTCAGGTATTAATCTCTGACCTGAGAAAGAAAGATAGTTTTTCTGGCTTGTTACAGGTGTTAATCTTCAATCTCTTCATGTAGATAGTTTTCCTGGCTTATTATAGGTATTAATCTACAATCAGTCGTCCGCAGATAGTTTTCCTGGCTTGTTACAGGTATTAATCTGGAACTTGAAAAGGTTGATGGTAGCCATCTGTTGATTGACCTTTTCCTGAAAAAGGTAAAACGTTAGCTGTATGCAATGTCATGATGTATGAAATGCATGATGTCATGATGTTCTCAAAAATAAATGAAATTGTGTCGTATGCACTTATCATGTATGTAAATAGGATGTATGAAATGTGAAATGTTTATTGAAGTGTATCTTTGTCTGGGAAAATAAATCCTTGACAAATGCTGGGGAGTCGTTAAATTCTGGACTGTTGTTGAAGAGTATGTGTGTCTTCGAACTTTTCTTAGAATATTTCCACTGGGGATTCCTGTTTTGTTGTTTGAGGAGAACTCTATTGGGGAATATTGAAAACTCTGTATGAGAGTTTTGATTCCTTCTTGGGAAAATAGTTCTGGAGTCTCGGTTGTCCGTTTCTCTACTGGGGTCGAGGTTGAACTGATATCTGGTCGGGTCCAGGT